AMASAARARWATATGTTGCTTGGTTTTGAGGCTAACACAGWGCAAACCAGAACTCGAAATCGGAGTATTGYCAAYACAGCAAACTTCATTACCTAAGACATGCTAGTATGGGTTTTCAATGTTCTTCAGTATGGATGAATGACAGCTGTCAATCTAATTGAATACCCATAAAACCATTTGGTAATTAATTTTAKAATTTCTCCTTTCAATTTTGCTAGCAAAAATTCTAAAAATATAGTTTTCAATAATAAAGAAATAGGAATTGTACACAAATATCCAAAAAAKTCTAAAAGCATAATTCTTTGCTACAGCACTGTAAGACTTGAAAAGCTTAAATTGTTCCTTGAAAAACATACACATTCAAATATTACACTTTATCGAAATGCAAAACGTTCATACTATGAAAAAATAAGATTCCATAAATTTGAAAAACGAAATAAAGGGAAAGCCGGAAATCTGACATTAACCTATTACCAAAATAAATAAACGTGTTTTCAAACTAAAATYTAATCCCTTCAAACCAACCTATTCACTTCTAAAGCAATGTATTCAAAGACTTTGCATTCAATTCAATATTAACGATAAAAAATTATCGTTTTTTCATATTAAAGTTACAGTAAATAAATAGATTAAGAGTGCAGATATTTCAGCATCSAACACGGATGTCAAAAATACTCCCACATAAATATTTTGATTTTTTGTGTCATAAATATTACGATCGACAATAAAACTTGGTGTAGTTAGAAAATAACTTWARATCTTACCTTTTATGCGTTTAAAAATCCTCCAAAATAAAAAGAAAAGATAAAATTTGCCGTTCAAAGGAAAACGACCTTTCACCACATGCTTAGGAGCGACGCCATTTTAAACCCCAGCATGCATTGCTATAGAAGAGTGCAAAGCATTATGGGACATGTATTCAAGATGGCGTTCAAAATGTAAACAACTTGGAAGCTTAAAAATCTCAAACGGTTTTAGCAAGTTCTTTCCCAATGTTACTGCACAAGGTGATGCATATAGATTGCAGCGTCATGCCTAGTTTATTCCTACTCGGATTATTAGAATAATTTGAGTTTTTGCTCRATGGAATTTGCAAAAATTTAAAATGCAAGCAAAGTGAGAACACTTGCATGATCTAAACGACAGCAATGGGCTCGATATTATCAACACCAAGACAAAACACGAACTCMAGGAAACGAGCATTTGAAGAAGTGCAAAAAAGTGACTCCGAAGACACTGAAAGTGTGGTAGAAATTCCGAAAAGGTAGTTGTACTAAAAACACTATTTATAGACCGTATAAAGTTTCTCTTTACAACATAAAAACTTAGTTTTTACTTCAGAAAAAAGCTTAGAGGAACTTCAGGTTACATTTACCAGACATTATTCGTTGGYGGTGAAGGAAGTGACGTGACTATTTCTGCATTAGGTAAGTACTAAGCTCTAGCTGTYCCCATCTTATTGTCCTGTGATGAGAGGAGCTGCTATGTAGCATATTGCAGCTCAATTTCTGGGCTGGGACTTTGAAACTTTTATTAGATTAGTGCTAATTGAGTCTTAAAAGAAACCTACATGTATGGAGCATATCATTGATTAGTGCTCATTAAGCTTTGAACAACCCAGGCCAGGTGTGACCTCAGTGAAAGTTTTATAGCTGTGAGGTGTGTTGTGTGTTTAGTAGAGGGAATTCAAGATGTATCAACTAAGCTTATTTACTTATAGGAAAAGAATGGAAAGTCCACAAGGTCTACCTCAGACAGGTATTATGCATGTAATTACAGCGATAATTAATCTTAACATGATAGTGATTAAGTTAATTGGCAGTAGAGTTAACACAGWATCCATGAATTATAAAATGTTTTCTTGTCTCCTTTAGTCCAAATACTTTCAAAGTATGTTTAGTGGTCAATGGAAGGAATCCCAAGATGATTTCATTAGTATTCAAGTTGCAGATGAATTTATAACAGCTGAAGGTAAAATAGGAGCTAATGATTCACACTGAAAGATCTGCACTTGGCTCATGAGTTCTCATGGACAGGACCTTATAACAGACACACAACAGAAAAGAGCTGTATGTTTTGTAGTCATACCAAATCTGCTCTGACTACTAATTTCATGCTGTACTTCCAATTGATGCTTCAGATGTTCATATTAAATAATGTCAATCATATGTCCATCAATTCAACCTTTTTTTGTATTTTTTTTCTAGCCTTGAACACTGCTTTAGGATCTTTGTACAGCGATGACATCACAGTATCAACAAAAACTGTCATTCCTCTGCTAGCGGCGGCTTGTCTACTTCAACTGGTAAATTATAATTTAGAGACTTTAYAGACATATCTTCTCTTCAGTAAAGTCTCATTTAAATGTGTATACAATGTTAAATGTATTTTGCTTTAAAAACGTTTTTATTTTTACAGTAATTGTTATAAAATAATAATAAAGCATCATTTTTTTGTAAATCTGTTTTTCCCATAAATTAGTTATCCTACAATCATATTGTTTAACTGGCATTTACCTGACATATGTTTGATATTTTGTCATCATAATTTACAGGATAATTTGGTAGCACATTGTTCACAGTTGATGAAAGAAACCATCAACAGTCGGACAGTGTGTCAGTACTACACAGCAGCAAAAAGATATGGAGAGACTGA